AAATGATAAGCATAAAAATTGTTCCATATATTTTCAGAACAAAACAACTGTAGTTTCTGAACTGAAACACATCTAGGCATTGCATCTATATATCTAGTTTGCCTGTTTAGGATGCTATACTTGCCTATTATGGAGTATTTGGTGTAAACGTAAAATGAAAACAAAAAATTGATTTAATAAATTATCATGCTGAACAGATATTATTGTCAAAGAAATCTCTTTATAGCTGCAAAACTTCACTTGTGTATATTGGTTATAGGGCCTTTAAACCAATGCCTACCACAGAGTATCCAGTAAGAAACTACCAGAACCAGCAAGCATCCAACAGTAGCCGGGGGGTGTGGTTGAGTGTCTCAATAGTTATTGGTTCGTGTCTCATTTTCTATCGTTTAATTTCCATATTCTTTGGCATCATACTTTGACTACTTCAGGTGAAGATAATTTCAAGCGGTCATGGCGACTGAGATGAAGCAGTGGTTAAGAATTCAAATTCTTTCAATGATTTTTTTCAAAAAAAGAGACAAAGTCTTAATAAAAAAATAATTTTTTGGGTGACATAATTTAAATATATTTTTATTTACATTTAAAGTTTATCATATATAAATTCAAAATGCAAGAAAATTATTTTTAGTCTTTTTTGTCTTCTATAATTTCTCTATTTTATAGATACTCCAATTTGTACATTTTAAATATTCATTATTAAGGTTACTTCAAAAAATATAAAAATTAGATATATTTTGTAGCTTAACTTGCTTTTTTTCGCCAACGACATTTGCCTTTTAAAAATTATATATTATTTTTTTTTGTTAATTATTACCTCTGGTCTCATTTATAAGTTTGCTTATGACATTTTTTTATTGAAATCATGAAAATTTTCAAAATTCATTAACTCCCTCGAAATTTTTTTATTATGCTCCTAATTTTGCCCATACTAAGTAAACAAAAATACTTACATCAAGTTTCTTATATTCATTATGTCAGGTTTTCTAATTACACATGATCATATGTCTATTTTTTTCATGCGGGTTTATATTTTAATGAGAAAATCTTAAAAATAAGACACATGATTATTTATAATTGTGTTGTCCATTATCCTTAAACGTAAAAAGCTTGACATAATAAATATAATAAACCTAATTTAAGTATTGTCCTTAAATATATATTCTCAAACAAAATTCCATACTTTCTAATATTTAAAATTAAATAGGGATAAAGGAAAAAATTGCAATAAATAATTAATATAGCATCTTGTAAAAATGTTTCATACAATTCAGTGTTTTTGACTTCCTATAACTTTTATATATTTATTAATTAATTACTGATTGATTATTGATAACAGACATATAAAGAACTTTCCATATCGAAAGTTCCCCCCCCCCCTTTTATTTTTGGTTTAACTTGAAGGGGTTTTGTTGTTTAGTGAGGAACGGTTGTTAAGTTAGGGAGACAATTCTTCTCAAGGAAGAGCCTTTCTTGAAACAAACAATGATGGTGGTGGTGAGATTAGCTTTCACTTTCATTACAGCTAATTAGGGTTTCTAGGGTTTCCATTATATGATACACTTGACTCCTTTTTTCTTTGTTTTGATTTCCTAATTAATGGAATCTAACAATTTTTTTATTGATTTTTATTATATTTGGGTGAAGTAGAATTCAATATCTTGATGTCATTTTCACAATACACATCTAATTTCCTTTCATACTATTGTTCAATTATATTTGTCACCCTAATCTTATTTATGACTTAAAGCACCAGATGTACTATAAATAAGATTGGGGTGCCAGATATTACTATAAAATAATATCAAGATACTGCATGAAACACAAGTAAGATTGGAATGTAGATGTAACTAGAAAATAAAATCATATGTTTTATGGTATATTACCCTTTTGTATTTTATAAATTCAAAATAAAAATAAATCAGTGGATGATTTTTTTAATGTTCTTCTTCTGTTTCCTTGCTACATATCTTCCACATTTATCTAAGTGTACAAAAATAAAACTTCTGTTTTGGTTGATACATATTTGTGTTGTTCAATATCAACTTTGATTAAAAATATAATTACTTTGAAAAAAATGACAAAACAAAACAGTAATATGAAATCTATTGAGTCCATTTGTCAAATGTTTTAATATCTCAATCGGACTTATTCTTCATAATTTTGAAAAAGGCATTATTCACAAAAGGTGGTGTTATTTAGCAAAATAAATAATGGGACAAATCAGTAATTATATTCAGGGACTCTTGTGTAAAAGGTTCTTTGAAGTGTCCAAGGATATTTAAATTTCATATGATTAATATTTTCTATTATTCAATATATTTAATAAAATTTATAATAAATGAAACCATTTATAAATTATGAACTTTGTCGTATTCTTAAGCTCGACATTTTTTCCATCATTCTAAATTTATACACATAAAAAATATCTAATTCTGGCATAAATTATGTGCTTCTATGAAATAACTTACTTGGTATTGTGATTCTCACATAAACTAGTACAAGACCCGTGCGATGCACGGGTGTGATATGGTTTATTACCATATAAAAAATCAAATGAAAATAAAATGGTTAGCCATTTGAAAGATATTGGATGCAATAGTGTCATATGATAATATGACAGTTGATAATTACAAAGAAAAAATATAATGTTTGAGTCTGATGTGATTTTGTCTTATTTAATAACTAGCAATCACTCCCCCGTGCGATGCACGGGGAATTCACTGGCTTTTCTTTTCAGCCACCTGTTCACTTAACAGATTCAGCAAACATGTATACCAATTGCCAATGGCATCAAAAAAGCACTACATAATAGTCACAAAAATTGCCGGTAATAAACTATGCTTCTTGTCTAATTAACAATGTACATAAACATAGCCAACTTCACATACTAAGATTTCGGAAAACTTCTCGATAGACAACATTTGTAGTTGTGTTCTTCCTATTAGAATCATTGCCATGGAGAAGAATCCTAAGGCCCTTAATAGATTTAACCCTAGAAAGAGCAACATACAGCTGACCATGTGTGAATACCGGCTTTGGCAAGTATAAACCCATACAACGCAATGATTGTCCTTGACTTTTGTTGATTGTCATGGCAAATGAAACTGTAATAGGAAATTGCCTCCTCTTCATCTTAAATGGCAACCGACAATCTGAAGGATTCAGATCCATGCGATGAATTACCACTTTCTGATTAGGCTTTGAACCATTCAACGTCACAGCTTCAATGACAACATTGCCAAGATGAGTGATTCGTAACCTCGTTCCATTATATAATCCAGAAGCTTGGTCAATGTTTCTCAAAAGCATAATAGGAGTACCAACCTTCAACGTTAATCTATGCATGGGTAAGCCGGAACAATTTATACTATTCAAAAAGTCAGGAGTATGTAAATCCTCAAACCCATCACGATCCTGGAAGGACTTGCAAACTGAATCACAGCTAAAATAGTCAACTGGATCACCAGGCAATAGTGAAGACATATAATCATTCACTTGATTAACAATATCAATTGTGGGTGCCAGTATAGCCCTGTCATTGAAATAATCAGTGCTGCCCAAATTATCCAACAAACCAGGATAAGTCCATGACACAATTGCAGCAATCGGATCACTGTACCTATCAATCAACAACTCATCAGGGATCTTAATTTCTGCTATCCCATCATGAGGCATACCCAACTTACCATCTCCAACATCTAATAACCACTGTGAAAATCTTTGCAAACTACTTCGATCTTCATCAGATGATAATGAGGAGAACAAACGCATATTTTCAGTTAATTGGAATATAGTGCAATGATCCCATAAATATGAAGAGCAAATGCATGCATTCACAATATCTGCCCTCGTACCTCTAGGAATGACAGGGAGAATCTGGCGAAAGTCGCCACCCATAATGACACACTTCCCACCAAAAGGATGATTACAATGCATAATATCTTTCAATGTACGATCAAATGCTTCAATGCAAAATCGTTGAACCATAGGAGCTTCATCCCATATAATCAACCTGGTGGATTTAATTAAATTACCTAATGCCGAATTTTGCTTTATATTGCACACAGATTCTTCATTCACCAGAATAGGGATCGCAAACCTTGAATGAGCAGTCCTGCCAGAAGGTAACAATGTTGCAGCTATCCTACTGGACGCCACTGTAAGAACAATATCACCCTGAGCACGAAGTGTTGAGGTCAAGGCATTCCATAAAAACGTCTTTCCAGTTCCTCCATACCCATACACAAAGAAGAAAGTCGTAGATACAGAAGACAATGAAGACATCACTACGTCAAATACATTCCTCTGCTCTGCATTTAGGGCATCTAATAATTTTCTTGACTCCTCTTCACAAAACCCACGATCATAATTTAATTCCTGCAATATCAAATGGTTACGAACATCAAGTGGAGGGTAAGAGGTTGGATATGGAAGAGAAGGAAAATCTTGCAAACTCTTCCCATTTTCTTGCAATAGTGCTTCAATCTCCGTTAATGCTGCTTGTTCTTTCTGCTCATCTGATATGGAAACACCTGCAAAAATAATAACTATGAAGCATTCATAAATAATAACAAACATAAAGCACATCTATTACACTAATTGTAAGAACAATACTCACCTAATGATAGCGGATTTTGGCGTGGAATGTACAATAAATCTTCTGACAACATTTTTGAAGTCTCCTTCCAAACAAAAGCAGGTCGGCTCAATGATTGACATAAAAGCATGCTTACAAACATCTTCCTTAGAGAAGCACCTGAAGCCCAAAACGACGCCTCTATAATTCCATTAATGTATTCATTGTCATCATCTAGCAACCCAAGAGCATAACATGCATCTCTAAAAGTAGGTTGAATAACTCCATTCACTGTCCTAATCTCTTCAAATGAAGTTGGTCCTCTAACTTTTGTGATCATCATGCGAAGGTAATAGAGTTCCCCAGATGAAGGTGGTGTATATGTAATCCTACCAATTGCAAATCCTTTCTCCCTTCGTTTTCATTCCCTCTTAGTCCTTTGGTACACATAATGTTGGGGAAACTCTGAGTATGTCAATGTTTTTGCAAAATCTTCCCTTGAGTTTGTTTTCATCCATGCAAGAAACATTGATTCACATACTCTTGGCTTATCTAAGACCTCCGCCACATCATCGGCATTTGAATACACCACATATTGCTGATTAGGTAAATGAAAGCTAAGCCTCTCAACCGCAGGATATCGATGATGAATATCAAAGGCAAAAATCCGCCAGGCAGCTTCACATGCTGAGATATATCTAAAGTTATAATACTGCTGGACCTCATCGACCACTCGCACACCATTACTTTCCTGGTTACCATCATATATCGATGCAATTACCCTATCATTACCCTTGCTAATGTACTTAAATAAATACTTTATAGCAGTACTTTGGTTACACTTCTCGACATTGATATGAGCCTGAAACTTCAGCAACAAAGTAGGATTATAAGGAACAATGTATCGGTTATCCAATGGAACCCCTTTTACCTCTATGGTCCTACCATCATCTCTTCTTCTATATGTAGGATACCCTTCATCATCAATCACAGTATTTTCAACAAACTTCTTAGGGAAATACTTACTACATTTATGATCCTTCATACATGGAGCTTTGCTATTAAAGCAACCACATGGCCCATGTACCATAAATTTCTTTACTATTTCATGTAACTCTGGATTTGATTGCTTATCAGGAATTTCTGCAGAAATAATCTTGTCAACATCACTTGGGTTAGTCAACTGATCATGTGGGCTAAGAAACAATAGAATGTGTGCATGTGGCAACCCCCTTTTTTGGAACTCTATAGTATAGACATCTGTGAAGTAAAGAAAAAATACGGTAAGACAATATAGTCAACAAACATAACAACACAAATTATATTTCTATCACATTTACCTGCAAGAACTGTCCCAAAAATCTTTTTCTTCTTAATAGTAGCCATCAAAGCTGTCAATTTCATCTGGAATACTCTTACCAATATATCTGGCCTATTTGAGGACAACAGTGCTTGCCCATCACAATATCGTGATATCTCTGGCCAAGTTGGGTTACACGTGAAGGTTACAAATATGCTTGGATATCCAAAATATCTGCAAAGAGCCATTGCATCTTGGTAATTCCCTAGCATATAACGTGCCCCCCCAGTAAATGAAGACGGCAATACAATACGCTTTCCTGTTGATGCTGCATTTCTTTCACCACTCAGCAGAGCATCTGTTAAGCCTTGGTATAAATCTGCTCTAAGCTCCTTTTGGTGGGTTCTCACCCATAACAGCCTTTGCGCTTCAATCATAGTATACCCATCAACTATAAATTGTTGGAATAACTTCCCTGCATGTAATACAGTTGAGATCTCATTTTCACGTGCCATCAAGCGATATGCAAAATATTCCCTCATGCTAAGCATTTTCTTCTTCTTTGTGTAAGAAATAGTCTCTTCACAATGTTGAATATCATCCCTATAACCATCTTCCCCCTTAGGAAATAAAATCGGATACTGCAATGGAAGATATGATGCATGCAACTCATCAATTCGCTGCAATGACCCTGAAAGCTCATGTACTATAACATCTCTCCTACTAAAATTCATATCAATATCCCCCACAATAAGTGCAGCTACCTCATTAGCAGATGGCAAATTATATGTACGGCCATCATGGTGTCTCCCACTAATTAGTCGAAGCTTCACATCCAAATGGGGTCCATTATTAATCACTGATGATGCCAAGCGATATTGTTTGACGAATGGATTTACTTCATCAAGTACCTTCTTGATTTGATCAACAATCTTGTCATCGATGGAGCAATCCTTCAAGTGTTTACTGCATAAAAATAAAAAATAAAAAGTCCATTATGCTTCTAGCATTATACTTTTTTTATACCATCCAAGCCACAAAAACAACATACCTTACTGCAAAAATACGGTTAGAGACTTCATTCTCAGTATCATGAATATAGAGCTGTGAATAAACAGGCTTCGAACCTTCAGATGGCAACAAACTCCCAATTTTATGGTAATTCATTCCACCCAAAACAAAAGTATATGGACTGCCTCCAGAATTTTTAGAATGATCAACCCTTCCACCCATCGAAGTAAAAGAGAACATGTTATTATATGACCGAATATTTGAATGAAAATTCTTTGACTCTCGTGTCTTCTTGTCAAAAAAAAGATGACTCAACACTTCAGGAGGTGCAGTCATCAAGGGTAGCTGAACTTTCCCACGCAAGCAACACAATGAAAATTTTGGACTTCTTTCAGATTTACAATTCCCAACTTTCTCATTAAACCACATGAATGCCCCACAATACTGACATTTATATACAGCATCTCCTTCTTCCATGTAACCTGTTAAAACAAAAAGAACATTAGGATGTAACGTCCCCATACATGGCATCACTGAAAAACATTTCATTTTCACCACAATTGGCCTGCTTACCGAATGAGCAAGATGGTCCAATCTTCCTTGGTTCGGCAATATTGCTTCTATGATTACATGCCAAATTATGCCCATTTCGCCCATTTTCTATATCACAAAGACAAATCACTGTCAGTTTACGGACTAACATAAAAACTAATAAATCATGCCTTCATTTATTTTATTACCTGCAGTATAATCTGAATCACTACCACTCCCGCCAGAATCAGATGTTATGTTTCTATCAAAGCAGAATTCCAAATCCTTATATCGTAATTCTATCGGAACTAATCACATCAAAATGACAATAATCTCACATTAAAACATCGCCATACATATATAGTGAACAACAAACAAATGCATGCAATTGAATTGGTGCACGCTACTTATTAAAGTCACTATCTGATTATTCCCACACGTGTAACAAAGGTAAAATATCACCTAACATAAGATGAAATTATAGGCATTCATTAGTATTAAGTTCCTGCATGCTAATCATTAGCATGGTTATGTCAATCCTTGCAGGCGTGTAATTAAGTAGCTGTATCAAGTAACGTTTAGTTCACCTAAAAAAAGTCCCAGCCTTACTCAAGGCCCAAAAATATCCAAGTCTCAACATAAGCCCAATGCCCACACCTCATGCTGTAACCGGAAAAAAACATGCATTCCCCACGTTTAGCATCTTCTACTTTTTATTAGTCAATAAGGCCCAACTTAAACACCTAAATTCATTATAAGTGCATTCCGTCCACTCTGATTCACCCGCCCACATGACCCAATATCTAAAAGTAGTTATTTCCATCATATACTGATGCTAAAATGACAGTCAGTACTGCTGTCCCAAAAAGAAAAAACGGCACTCAGCATTACCAGGAATTGCCAACAGCATGTCTTAATCTCTCCACAGAACTAATTTTCCTATGTCGCAAAACATGCTACCCTTGCACATTATCTATCACATACGGGTCATAAAACCTTATTATCACCAACCTGGCATATCTGATACAGCAGGTCCCTGAAAATCAACTCTTGAGCCTCTTGCACAGCCTGAACCAAATAACATGTCTCGAAAGAAATAAGAATAGCAAATTAGTTCATCTAAATTGCTCTCTCCCATTCAACCTCACATGAACAATTAACCTTCTAATCCCTTACAGATGATACCTCAGTTCTGAAACTTACACCACTCAACATTTGTTCTCGTCACAACACTAATAGAAAGAAAGAATTACTGCCTCCCGTCGGCTTACATCAACACAAACCTGAAAAAGAAGCTGATTGCGTAGCCTGACTCGCTGAACTCCCTGCATCCGCTAAATATTGTCGCTGAGAATAATTCTCCATCATGTCAGCAGATGCAAAAAAAGAATTCCTCTGACTTCTTCTGCTGCTACTTTTTCCTGCACAATTGATTGCACATTCCACCATTAGCATCGATAAAATAGTCATCAGCTTATTTCATTCCCCATGACTGTTTAAGTCATGCAGAGTGACTGTCAATTGAAACCTGACTAACATTCAAAACTACAAATCAAAACCAAAAAACCTCCTACATGTTCGTGAATCGAAATCTGATATACATGTTCCCATACCTTTAACTTTTTTTTTACCATTCATACTGACCCCACTATCGGCCCCTTGATAGTTGAGATTTTCTGCTCCACTTTGACTATTTGTTCCTACTCCTGGCCACTGCCTTTCAACACACTGAAACTTTAAATCCAAGTTATATGCGAAGTTACTGATGTCTTGCAAAGCCAATGCTCTTCCCCGACGCTTAGCTAATACTCGCTGGCTGCAAGTCAGAGTTGAGCTTGGCTGCGTGTTGCTGGTAGGACACTCATTCTCTTTATCTAGATTATCATTTGCTTCTCCAGACCGACTCCTTTCCCCATCAGCATTGTACCCACCACCTTCATCAGACATCCAAAACACTATCAAAACAACGAACAAAGTAATGTTCAATTCCACTACGAAAAATCAACAGGGAAAAAAATGATAACTTCACCAGCGCTGAGAGGCTCGAATCCCTGATGACAGTAGCCAGGACCGATTTGCACCATTATTGGCTGATTGCTGCCCACATCACTTTGGCTACCTTCAAGTCCCAAATAACAACATTAACAATCACTGACACTTATATCTTACCATATATATTCACTATATGTCTGTCACTCTCACTTACATATTTGAGAATTCTGAGATCCATGGCAAGCCTGCATCGCCATAGTCAAGGAGTGGATACGACAATCACAAGTTGTTGCCTCACCTGATTCATTATTCTCTCCAATTCGTATATCACTTTTCCTCTTCATTATCACCTAGATGTCCTCAACCATGCTATAATGTCCTGTTATGACTAAATAATACCTGTACACAGCAAAACGAACCTCCTAATGATACAATCACTTCTCAGTCACCAATCAGACACACTCGTGACAAATGAATGCTCATTGCTGAATGAAATTGAATTTGTTAACACTACCTAGCCACTCGACTTGTTTTAAAGTACACAGGGCAGCTATGGCCCCCTACCGTATTCCTGAAAAGAACATCTTGGTGTGTCACATCACCACGATACTCACTCACACCTACCCCCTCCCTACTGACTTCCAATCTGACATATTCCTCCTACACCTTTTTCTGAATCACGTTTTATGCCTCACGGACTACTGCCTCAACTCACTTCTTATTTATTAAACAGACCATATGACTCCAAAGTGAATGTCCACTCACATTCCACAGTGATTATCACTTTTATCTTGTGTTTACCATGTGGTTCCTTCCCCCACCAAATATACAGATTCGATTATACTTCACTTACTAACCAATACGACAGTACTTACCTAATCACTGTCCTTCTCTGTGGACTCCATAATATATGATCAATGATTAAACACACTTTAATTTCCAAACTGAAGCAGACACCAGTTGATGAATCTTTTACGGCCCCTGTCCCTTTCCCCCAAGTTCCATTTGTATGCAACCACACCAGACATCCATTCCTCTCAGGCGTTTATCAACCCAAGTAATCAGTAAAACCATAGTTATTCACCTTTGAATGTGTATGTATTCCAATTTATTTAGAAACTCAGTATTCTCTATCACACCCCACCAGTTGATACATATATTTAGTCACTGGTATGCTTGCGCCATAATTTTTGCCATCGTTACTAATACTCAATTCCATCCATCAAACCCACGTTTGTTACCAATACCACAAAATATTTGACATTATTGATCCTGGTCTTCTATAGTCTTACACATATACATGCACATGGCTTGCTCAATGTCGCACATGCTGCTCAGGCCTAACGCCACTTGAGCTAAGATCACACTGACTTGACTGCTGCCGCTAAGGCAAAACACACTAAACACAACATAACACAACTAAGTTCTCACACATTGCCCTCATGGCCAAAATAGATGAAACCTAACATAACACAACTAAGTTCTAACACATTGCCCTCAAGGCCAAAATAGATGAAACCTAACGATTACAGACCAAGGATCATCCTACGTTTCATAAACACAGCACCACAGTAGAGCAGCAATGTGGCTTCAAGGCTTCTCCTGTTTAATGATCTTAACAGGCCTCCATTCAACGTTCTCCTGAGGGTCCTTCAGCTCCTCCAGTGATTTCCTCTTTAACCCAGCACTCTTTCTTGCTGTAACCTTTCTCTTCCCTTTATAAGTTGCGATAGGGTAGGCCTGCGATATGGGCATGACATCAAGCACTTCAGTATCGTCCCCCTTCTGCTCATCATTGACTGGTTGTGAATCAGCAACACCACTATCCTCAGGGGTCTCTTCTTCCACATGAACATAATTGGATTCCTTGACACACAAAGTGATCAAGTCATTTCATATATAATTCTGACCCAAAAATTTCAATCAACAGATAGTAATATCACCTATTTCATTTACCTCTTCAGGAACTTCCTCAGTTGTCTCCCCAGCCTATGTAGAAAACGAAGACCATTCAGTTTCACAAAAAAATAAAACATCTTCCTTCAAAAACCAACAAAGAATTACATTCTTACCCTATTAAAGTCCTCCATCAAATTAACAATCTCAGTATATGCAGAGACTGAGATGCTAGAGTGTGGGAAGTCTATGTTGTACTTGTTAAGCTTAATCTTCAATAGCAGCCTCTTCCCTACCAAACAGTCCAATTCATCTGGAAAATCGTACCCTCGATCTTCCTACACACAGAAATCTCCCAATATTAGCATCATAAATCCAATCATACTGGACCAAACTCAATGATTAATAACTACTTTCTCTAGCTGCAACTTCATCTCATTAGCAGTTTTTCCCAGAAATTGAAAGGCCAGCTTGTCAAAGAAGACCACCGTGGCCTTCCCTGAGTCATCAGCAACTGTATAGTGAACCTTCAGCCTGCAACATTCGAATATTAGACACTCAAAAGCTCCAATCACAATACCTCTTAAATAACAACAAAACCAAAATTAAACATGCATTACTTGGGTTCAAAAGTCTGGGGCTTCCTCCTACATGGTGTGTTCAAGCAAACCAACCTCCCGGATTCAGTCTTGGACTTACTGCCACACCTAGCACACCCAAGGTAATTCCAGCCATGCCTGGTGTCAACCTTCAGCACCGTGCACTTAATTAAGAAAAAGTCCTCCTGCATGACATCCATAGTTACCTCATCATCAACTTCAAAACGGGTATCTAACTCTCTGAATTATTCACTTACCACACCCCGATTTTCTATCTCAGAAATTGAAATCAAAGGATGATTAGCAAGCAAGCTTCTCTCAGAAGCATTCACGGCCTGAGATGGAGCGCCTGCAGAGATCGTGCTGATTGTTGGTGAAGGCAATGTCTTTGCACTGTCACAACCATATGTTTCTTGCATCAGCTTCCTCTGCTTGCAACAGAAAAAACATAGCACCGATAAATGACAACCCATACCTCTGAATGAACTGCTTCACCTCTGGGAAATTCATATTAAAGGAGACCTTAGTCGCATGAAAAGAGCTGCAGACTTCGGGCTTCCCTGCATTTTTTTTGTTGAACTCTAATTATTGACTAAAAACTAACCTCACTAAACACATAACAACTAAACCAAACTATTATTCTAAGACTCACCGTCCTCATCAAATCCAATTCTCCCTAGCTGAATGAGGATTACTATGGGAGCTTCCAGCCTTGTAAAGTCAGTCATACAGACCTCAGTTGCACATTCATCAAACAATACACATGAAACTGAGTTTTCCCTGCATTTAACAAAACACGTCAAGCTTCCTCTCACACCTTCCACCAAATAACAACCACATATGCATCAAATATTTACATAACCAGACTTCAAACTTTTAGTTTAAAAACAATATCCATCGAGTAATAACCATACAAGTTGTCAGATAAAGTCAGCCGCACTCTATTCTTGACTTCATGGTTCACGCGATATTCTTCCAGGGCACTGATAGAGGTGACAAAGCCAATGACATCTACACATGATTACCAAATGCATTCAGTACCTGACCCTCTATCTACATTCGAGGCAACCAAAATAATCATAAATAAAGTTATGCTTAATATAGTTACCAATCAGATAGTCAATGTTGTTTTTTGGTTCCACCTCCAAGATTTCAGCTATAGGGAAAAAGTTATACGAATATTCAGGAATTGGTGCATTTTTTTCCTGGATATATGTCAGCGCACCAAGGGTAATCTTATAGGGATGGTTGGTAGCCCTATACTCCTTTGAGTTGGCTGACACAGAGAAATTAGCAATGAAGTAGATCCTTCCCTCCAAAGGCCTGTCTTCATAAAGATCAAACACACTCTTGTTCATGACCGATGCTTGGATTCTTGTTCCCTGCATATCATGCAAATCCACATAAACCCTCTACTGATTAGAAAGGAAGGAAATTAAGAATCCAATTGAATAAATCAAACATGACATCTACTCATCTACCTGATTATATCTACCCCCCATTTATTTTTCAGCTGACAAAATTAAACACCTCTGCTACCCCATCGATTACTTATAAACTACATAACTATATTTCAAACCATATCTAACACGACAATACCTCCTCATCAACCAGCAACATTGAAATACAGAAGACCTCATCAGGAGCATCCTTGTTAAACACATTCCATCTTCTAATGACACGAGCCACAATCCTCCATCTATCAGTAGAATCATCAACCTCTCTCAGCTTTGAAATCTTCAAGGTTGACATAGTGAAAGAGAAGTGTTTTTTTTCTTAAGCAGCACAGGCCTCTGTCTCTCACTGGTCTCTTTTCAAGCAGCAGTGCCGGTGAGGAAGCCTGCCTATGCAGCTCCATTTATAAAACCACCTACGTGAACAACCATACTGACATAACAACACATGACAGAAAAATATATCTGACAGTAACACCATCGTAACTTGCAAAAGTCAGACACCGTGCACAACTTTCAGCTCATGAAAACAAAATAACACAGCTTAACTGACGGCACATCATATCCCCGCATAGCCTTCATATCATTAGTCTCATCTTTTCATGACCATTCATCATGTCCATCAGTAAAGGATTTCCACACATAAAGTGACTATTATTTTTTTTAGTTTAAATTTGAATGTATAAGCATAAAATCTCTTTACACCCTTCTACCCGCCAATTCTGCCCTCACGACCTCATTTCAAATTATGTTAAAATAGATAGCTGTGTATTTACATTAACCCCTTTGTAACACAGAAAGCATTTTCCTGTAACGTTTACACGACCCATTTCTATTTCTTATAAACACGTGTCTGACTCTAATGCATATATGAGAAGTAATAACAATCCTTTGCAGTTACCCTATCTAAATCACTTTTGCATTGCTTAATACACAATCAGGCCAAAACATAGGGGCATCAATTAATATCATAAATTATCATTTATCAATGCCCCTTTTTATCGGGCAAGGATTAGTATTACCACTTCTTTCATTTGATCCCACCACTATTATCCACCATGCACCAAGTAATAACTGTCTTGCTTCATATACCACGTAATCTATCAGCAGACTTCCATCAGGACTTCTACACCCCCATGCTTCCTTGGCACCACCTTAACCTACGCTGAAACAACTACATTTGAACAATTGGATACACCTTGAGCTCTGTGCTGATCTCTATCAGATAATCCAGTTAAAATCTGCACTTCAACTTGCTCTCACTTACTCTTCCTCTTGAGACACGTCATATCTTCACCCCCAACACTTTTCGCTCTGCAACCCATTGTGGTGCCAACTAATCCGCTCACAAACCAATGACCTGTCACTCTGCTGCTCAACTTATCAATCTTTAAACTCACACCCCTCCTAACTTAAACAATCATACCCCTATGTTCCTTCGCAGCACCCTGCCCGTATGAAAAGACCAAACCTTCATGCCTTGAGAAATTTTGTTGGCTTGATCAATGTGAATAGACTAAACATCCATTATCCAATTGCCCTTACAGCCAGATTTGATATCTGAGACCATATCATAAACATCTTACTCACACCTTATCCTGTACCTTGGTCTCAGACACCATGCCCTGACCATCTTACTCACACCTCATCCTCTGCCTTGCCGTTTGCTCTTGCCTAAACCCCCACCTACCATGCATTGCCATACCCCACATAATATCCAGGGTTCATCTTAATGCTTTTCTCTTGACACCCACAACACATCTAAACTTGTAAGCAAACTCGCCACCTATGCCATTCCAACCTTCATTTGCAATAAATCTGCATCGATTCAATTCATGACTCAACAATTCTTATTCGTCTCTGAAACAGCAAAAAACATCCCCTCTGATTTTATCACAGGCACCTCCATATTTTGTAGGCCTATAGCAACATAATCACACCGGCCACCATCAGTCCCTGCCTTCTTGAAATGCAAAATCACGTACATGTAAGAAAAAGATACTCCCTACTATAAAATCATTCTTAACTTATCACAGATCCTGGCTTGTATTTATTTAATCCCACAACGCTAACACAAATCAAATAACGTTGACAGTCCACTGGTTATTTGTCTATTTGATCCTTGTTTGCTGCCATTCATACACACTCAAACCATTCATAACTATTACCTGCTTTACAACCCTATAATGTTTTTATCCAAATCATTATCCCGACCAAAGTAGCCTAAACACACTTTATCCCAAAAGCTGACTACATATTCACTTTTACTTCCCAGACGTGTCATCCATCACACCCGCCATACAGCCATCAAAACCTGCTGCTTTTACACTTAACTGACCCGCAAAAGGACAGAAGCAGCACCACGAACACAAAATCTAACCACCGCCAGCCCCCTGACACATTCATTGATAAACCTACACGGGATCAACCAAAGTCAACCAAATCACTTTAATCAGCTCACACGAAAAACATTGACTTTCTCTAACACGTTATCAAAAGCAACCCAGCCTTAAAAAGTGAAAGTAACAGCCAGAACTTGCAAAAAAGCTGTCTTATATCAAATCCTCACTCCCAACACGCATGCTGCATGTATCTCCGAGACATCTAAACACCATCACCACTTTGAACAACCATCCAGGAGACACTGACTGTCTAGATCAATTCGTAACTTGCTAAATCTTTCTTCACCCATTTTACAATCTCTTGACTGACTTAATTTTACAATCCCCATGCTTCCTCTCAACTTCTTTAGTTACCGAAACTAAAGGTTGCACTCTCGTCGTCATTTTTTGTCTTCGTTCCTCTATCCTCGATCACACAGGCTTACCATTTTTACAAGCAGGACAATCGTACTACCGATTATCTTCCTAAATTGTCTGACACAAGTGATAGTAATTTTTTTATCCTTCATCAACCTCCTGATGATAGAGGCCATGTGTAATCTTCGGTTGTTCTAAGTAATGTTATCCAATGTTTAATTCAACAACAAATTAATGAGAACCTAAAGTGAATTCAAAGCCGACAATATCATGGAGATATCTTTTTTTATTCACATGTCTTAAAGCATTAATATCATGCAGATATCTTTTTTCCATTCATTTCAACTTGCCTTAAACGACTACTCTACCCTGCAATATTTGACCAATTAAGTCGTTCATTTACAACTCATATTCACAAAAATCTAATTTTATCGCATATCTGGACCTTTTCCTGATTTAATAAATACCCTTAATAAATAGAAAATAACATCTCATAACCAAAAAATGTTCTCGTATCTGACAAGGCTCTTTAACAATATACCTACTTGGATTCATTATCACATGGCATGACCTTGGATCAACCAAGAACAAAACGATCCAACAACACAAGATTTTGCTTATCACTGGGCATACACTTTCCACCCTCAACACATCATACATTAGTCAAAATATCCAAAACAAACATCATAAGTGCCTACCATACTACAGTTAAGTATCCCCACAAAAACATGAATGGCCCACACCCATATACACAGTCACCCCTCATTAAGCCCCTAGACTAACTACAGTACTACAGCTGCGCCTAAATTCATCTCCTCCCCGCAGGCTTCAGTAATTTCCTCCTCAGAGCTATGGTCTCGTGAAAAACAGGATTCCAAAACACCCTGGTTGCATCCGTGTAGTTGGTTAATGAGGCTACCCCTGAAGACACAAAAATTAGCCAAATCAGAAATGCTCCAGTACTCCTCAAACTCAATTAAATGGTTGCAACAAAATACACATAATCCTTACCTTCCACTCTCTTCACAAACGCGTATTGCACAATGCACATAACCTTATCCATCCATATGAACCCTTGAAAATCCTTCCATGCCTCATTAGCCGGATCACCATAAATCTCACAAGTAATCCTGTCTTTCCTACAGAAACGTCTACATGCCATTCATATCAATAAAACACAGTAAAAGGTTGTTTCCAACATACAAAACAGCAACAATAAGACCGAAAAAAACTCACTCCATGTCCTCGACAACAAACTCAAAGACGTAAGTAAACGCCCCTCCATGCTTTGTGATTCTCAGCTCCTCAAAACTGATCAAGATTCCAGCAATATCTACACATATTTCATGCAATCACTCCACATTCAGCATATGCTCAACACCTCGTCCCCATCAAGTCTAAGCAACATCCTCGTGCCCTCAAAACACCAACCATAAAACAATTAGTTAAATCTAATGCAATGCCACAAAAGAAAACTTCATAAACAGAACAAACCAACTAAGACCAGTAGTGACACACTAACATTCACCGATTAGATATAAAAAGCCAACCACAAACCACCAAAAAAATCATATATATTTATATATATCTAAATCCTCACCTCCTCATCAAACACAATCATGTCCAGCGAAATCAACACCTTCAGATAGCCACATTCGCGGTCGTATATGTCAAAATCGGTCCTCCAGAATACTCTGTCTACCCTCACGATCACTCTCCAGGAATCCACCGAAGGAGCAACAATATCAAGCCTCTCGTACTCCTCTACCATCTCTAGCAGGTTACTGACTCAACGGCAAACTGTATGACTAAGAAACAGGGTTTACAAAACAGGGACTCTGGCAAAAAGCCCTTGGAGACTGAGGACTATAGAAGAGAAAGACGAACCGACTTGCACTCTTGAAAGAAGAACAAACGTCCTTACAACGCATTACTCCCCACCATATTTAAAGAAGAGTAACCATTAAAAATCGACCCCTCTACTCCCACCTACCAGGAAAAAAACAACCTCAACTGCAATAAATCTGGCCTCCCAGCAGCAAACATAAAACACATACAATTAAAGAAAGGCACAAAAATACCACGATGGACCCTTCCTCAACTGCAATAATGGAAGTTTCGACGACAAAGTTCTCGTACCCAAACCCAATTTTATACACAAACCACGTAACTCACTAACTATGGTTACCATTAACTGCCATGCGCGTATTTAAAAACAACCCAAGTAACCCATCACGTATAGCCCCCAATTACATCCGGAACACGTAACCTCCATAATAAATGCATGGCTCCCGCAATGACCATCGTGCACACAGCCACGTAACCCAAGCCGGTACTGTTCACAAGCCGGTACTGTTCATAGCACAGTAATATGTGAGATAAGCCGCTAAGAAATCACAACCGGCTAATACAGCCACTGATTTTTATTTATTAGTTATGTTGATTACAAGGAAAGATGTATAGACAAAGAAAATCTAATGCATGAAAGACCGTTTGATTACTTTTCATCAACACAGGAAATGGAAAGATACACAATACTTGGTGTTCTCCATCCTATCGCCTCACACTTATTTCCTTTAAATGATAAAAAAAATAAGAAACAAACCATTGTAAATGTAGAGATTAATCACCCAACACTCCATTATAAATAATATAATAATTAGCCCTAGTCGTATCAGACAATTGTATAGGCCAACAACATACTTTATATAAAATTATTACTTATACTGGAAGTACAAACATATGATATAGAATGAAATTTGTGTTCCCATGAAATTTGAACAAATATTTAGGCATCATATTAAATAAAAATATGAAGTGAAAATACCCCATTCAAATGATATCTAAATTTTCATTGTTAATATCATCATATTAATACAAAAAACAAAGTAATAGCAAAAGAACAGCATGGATATGAATATGAAGATATTATCACTTTTAAAGTTTCAATTTACCTTCCAGCTCAAAGGGAGAAAGTCATAAGCACTACACATTCACAAAATATTGCATATATGAAATGGTGACCTACTACATATATGTTTGTATATGCACAAGCATGGATCAATACTGACCTAGGTGTCTCTCAATTCAAAAGGTTACAGAAGACTTCCTTATAAACAACATTTGAAGTTTTATTGGTAGGAGTGCCTTTGTCATCAAGGAGCAATATTTTTAAACCTTCCCGTCGCCGCACTCGTGAGATAGCAACGTATAACTGACCATGTGTAAAGACAGGACGAGGCAGAAATAACCCTACATTGAGAAGACTTTGACCTTGACTCTTGTTTATAGTCATTACAAAAGATAGCATTACAGGAAACTGTCTTCTACATAGAGTGAAAGGCAAAGACGTCTCAGATGGTGTGATGGTTAAGCGTGGAATCAAGACATGCATGCCAGTATTACTTCCTGTGATAATCTCAGCTCCTATCACATGTTTCTCCAAACGTGTGACAATTAACCTAGTCCCATTACAAAGACCTATGGATTTATCAATATTTCGCATCAACATTATAGGAGCACCGACTTTAAGGCTTAGCTTGTGATTTGGCAATCCAGACATTGTGATTGTATTTAAGAATTCAACCGAGTGTATTTCTGCAATGGAACTGTTGGCACCATCTGATTTGCAAACACTGTCAGCACTAAGATAATTGACTTCCTCACCTGGTAGCTTTGCAAGCATATAACTATTCAATTCATAAACAACAGATAATGTAGCTGTTAGAATAGCACGATCCTTGAAGTAAGACCCATCGCCTAGGCGGTCAACCAAACTTGGATATGTACTGTCAATAATGCAATCCATAGGATTCCCTAATGGAAACAATAACAAATCTCTAGGTATGGTAATAACATCTTCTGTGTCAGGTTCAATGTCAACATTGCCATCTCCAACAGAAATAATCCATTCTGAAAACTTTGTTACTGCATCTACATTATCTGTGTAATGACCTTTGGTTAGTCTCATGTTTTTAGTCAATGTGAAGACAGTGCATTCATTCCACAAGTATGAAGCATTAATAGTAGCAAAGACAATGTCTTCACGCCCACCTCGTGGTATGACAGGAAGTATTTGCCTAAAGTCTCCTCCAAGCACCATAGTTTTTCCGCCAAATGGTTTTCCTATAGCATTAGGATCATTTCTTCTAATGATGTCTCGTAATGTTCTATCCAATGCTTCAAAACAATGCCTGTTTGCCATTGGTGTTTCATCCCATATTATCAATGAGGCCTGAATTAAAAGCTCTGCTAGTGGTGTTCCCTGTTTAATGTTGCAAACTGAATCTTCAGTGATGGCAAGAGGGATTGCAAATTGTGAGTGGGCTGTTTTACCGTTAGGTAATAAAAGTGATGCAATGCCACTCGATGCAACAGTAAGAACAATCCTCCCTTCAGATCTTAATGATGCACATAATGTTTGCCATAAATATGTTTTCCCAGTTCCTCCATATCCATAAACAAAATATAGCCCTCCCCGCACATTATGAACAGTGTCAATTATTGTATTGTAGATTGTACTCTGCTCTTCTGTTAAGTTTCGAAGAAAGACATGTAATTGCTCCTTAAGGACATGACGATCAAAATCTAACTCAGCCAACACCAATTTATTGACCGCTGATACATTTAATGATCGAGCTGGATAAGGCATTGTTGGATAATCTTGAAGACTTCTCCCATTAAGTTGTAGCAAATCTTCAATTTTATGTAAAGCATGGTCTTGCAATTCAGCATCACTAAGAGAAAGTCCTGGTTGATCATAGAATGACATCTAAATTGTAATGGTTGTTGAAATAACAATTAATTAACAAAACAATATAAAATAACGATGAGATGTGAGAGAATAATTCTTTAAAAAAAGAGTGTAAATATGGGGGGACACATACCAGGATGGCCTGTCAGCTGTTGTTGGCTATAAAGTATGTCCTCTGCCATTAATTTCCATGATTGCTGCCACACAATTTCAAGGCGTGATATACAGTTACATAGTAACAATGTGCAAAACAGGCGACGAAGGTAATTTGGAGTGGCCCACTGATTTGCCTCCTGAATAGCATCAACGTACTCTTTGTCATCCTCTAGTAACCCTAGGGCATAGCAAGCATCCCTAAATGTAGGATGGAGGACATCATCAACAGTTCTCAATTCCTCAAAAGATCTTGGCCCTTTAACAGTTGCTAACAACATACGAAGATAAAAGGCTTCTCCAGTGCCAGGGGGAACATAGCATATTCTTCCAATAGAGAATCCTGTTTTTCTAAAGTCCCAATAATGACCAGGTTTTTTGAACACAAATTTGGTTGGGAATTCAGAGTATGTTAAAGCACGTGCTTCATCATATTTTTCATTTGCCCTCATCCAAGCTTGGAACATTGTTGGTTTGCCTTCATTATGGTTAACCACATCATCAAGGTTAGCTTCATCTGCATAAATAATTGTTTGCTGATTTGGTAGGTGGAAGGAAAGTCTTTCAACTGATGGAGTTCTATAGTTTATATCAAAGCCAAAAATCCTCCAAACAGCTTCACATGGAGATAAATACCGAACATCATAGTACATTTTAATTTCATCATGAACAACTTCCCTCTCACCTGATGAAGACTCACCGTAAAAGGCTATGGTAGCTCGATCATGACCCTTACTCACATATTTGAACAAATACTTAATTGATTCCCCATGTTTACATCTCTCAACATTTAAATGAGCCTGATATTTTAACAGTAATGTAGGGTTGTAAGGAATCACACTCCTATTGTCTAATGGAACTCCATTTTTCAAAATATACTGACCATTGTTTGGTCTTTTATAACGGGGATACCCATCTTCATGAATGATTGTGCTGGAGTTAAAAGGCTTTGGATAGTATTTGGAACACTTGCCATTAACCATGCATGGAGATTTTGGGTTAGCTAAACCACATGGTCCATGCATCATGTAGTTACTAACAGCTTCAAACAATTCTGGCTGTTCATTTTTATCCGGTATTTCAGCACTAATGACTCGGTCAATTTCTTGAGGAGAATCAAGATGGGATTGGTTTGCTAGAAACAAAACGATGTGAGCATGGGGAAGGCCTCTCTTTTGAAATTCAATTGTATACAATGCTGTAAAAAATTTAGCAACATATGAGAAAGATGAACAACTGTAATATAATTTTGAACCACCTGACTATTACTCATTTGTGAAAAACAATAATATAAAGAAGATTATAAGATATGGTTAATTTAATAGTATGCAAACTGACCTGCTTTAACAGGACCAAAAATATCACCCTTCTTCAAATCTTGCATGAGATGCTCCAATTTCATCTTGAAATATTATTATTTAGCAAAATAAATAATGGGACAAATCAGTAATTATATTCAGGGACTCTTGTGTAAAAGGTTCTTTGAAGTGTCCAAGGATATTTAAATTTCATATGATTAATATTTTCTATTATTCAATATATTTAATAAAATTTATAATAAATGAAACCATTTATAAATTATGAACTTTGTTGTATTCTTAAGCTCGACATTTTTTCCATCATTCTAAATTTATACACATAAAAAATATCTAATTCTGGCATAAATTATGTGCTTCTATGAAATAACTTACTTGGTATTGTGATTCTCACATAAATATACATTTTTATATAAAATAAAGTTTAGGGAAAATTAAATTCTGCGCAAAACAAAAAGAAATCAACGGTAAGCTTAATTGTGGAGTTTTTAAATGTAGTGAATAAAAAGTGAAAAAAAAAATGTAAGGGTGGGGTTGAAAATAAAACTTCGTTAGGAGAAAGGATTGATCACTCAGCCTAAAAGTCATATACTCCTCCGGTCTTTAATATAGGACCTAATTCTTGAGTTGGTTTTGGTCCTAAATATAAGACCCATTTCTCATATTTATCAATTTTTTCTAAATTACCCCTATGGATACCCCCTCAACCATAGTCAAGTAAAAGAGGAAGATGAGGTATTAAGAAAGATAATTACGGTATTTTAGGAAAAATGTGTTACTTTTCTTATAATTAACTAACTTACCTAACTTCCTTAATCTAATCAAATTAGTTAAATGGGTCTTATATTAAGGACCGGAGGAGTACTATACAAGCAAAGCCTTCTCATCATTTATGGTTTGTTCATAACAAAAAACCGATTTAGACAAACCGGTTCAACCGGTGAACTGGTAAACCAGTCAGTGGATCGATTTGGTTTGGATATTAAACCAAGAGGGAGCTGAACCGGTAGAGAACCGGTCAAACTAGTGTGAACCTGTAATAAACCGGTTTGAATGATTAGATTGTTGTTAGTCCTATTTTTTTTTCTCATACAACTCCTAATATATCAACCCTTATAGATTTAAATGAATTTTAATGATAATTTTGGTATCAATGATTATTAATTTTAATTAATGATGAACCATGAAGATCAAAATTCTCAATATTGTTATACTTTGTGATTGTTACAATCAGATTATTGTCATATTTTTTTATATTTTGTTATTAGTGATTGTTAATGTTATTATATTTTGCTATTTTTAATTAAATTATATTATTTTAGTATAACCCATTGGACCTCGAGTTGACCCTGATTCGACCAACTGAACATTAAACCGCTATCTCAACCGGTTTAGTATCCGGTCTGGTTTTTTGTTTCTTGGTGAAGATTCAATCATTTAAATTATTATTTTTCTTTCTTTCTTTCTTTCTTTCTTTTTCTGGGCCAGATATTATCTTTCTTTGCTTGAATTGTTTTGCTTCTAAAAATTTTTAAACGGAATGAACCTCAAAATGCAGGAAAAAAAAATTGGCATTAAAAAATACGAACATGGTAAGGATTATATTTGCAGGTTGGAATGCAACTCATGTTTTACATGAATGTGGATCCAAATTCTACTAATAAAAAAAAATTAAAAAGTTACTCCCTTGTTTACTCGTTTTGGTTTTTATTATAAGTTTCAAATAACTAATTTACGGATAATAAATAATTAATTAAAATTAGTTAAAAACAATAAATAGGTTAAAAGTATACTTTTGTTTCTAAATATGCTCTTGTAATATATGAGAAAAAATGAAAGAAAATGTGTAAGGAAATGCAATAATGGAGAGTATAAAAAGGAGAGAAAAAAATAATTAAGAGTAAAATTGAAAAAATGTATTAAATATTAAGATAAATATCAAATTGAAGTTTATAAAATGAACCCACCTCTTTCAAAATTTTAACTTTATAAATAGGACTGAGAGGATTATATGCCCAGAGGTATATGATATGAATCTACAGTGTAGAGAAAATACCTGACAGAAATTGTCTTGAATTGCGCAGAGGCACTTTTTTAAAATAATTTTTGAAACCAAGCACTCTATGGTCACAGTCAAAAACCAGTAAAAGAAAGACCTGTGATATATAGAAAGTTGATAAGTTAATTGTTGAATCCCTCGAAAATAACTGCTTTTTCTAAATTTCTTCTTACTATTTTTATCGTTTCGTTTTGAATAATTTTGAACTTTCATTTGGTTTCCTTAAGTGGAGTCAAACGTGATGACGCGGCCAATGCGACAACGGAAAAAAGCTCATACCATATAATTCTTTTTTTTTGAGTTACAGGAGGGCGGGATCGAACCCGCATTACACACACACCCACGCACACACCCACACCACTGGGCCAACAGGCCGGTGGTCATACCATATAATTCTAAAGAGGGCTTTCTTGTTCATTAGCTTGATAATGGAAGATAGAACAGTGTCACTGTTCAACTGTGTTCCTAGCTTTGCACAGGGCGCTGACATTTTACTGGTTCATAATGACACTTCGTGCCTTGGCTATTTATCTTCACTGCTTCGCCAATGCTCGTTCACAGGTATCTGCAACTTACCTCTATAACATGTTTACCTTCCTTTGACCCATGGACTTCAAGCCGCTAAATTGAAGTTAGAGCTTTTTTTTTTTTTTAAAAAAAAAAAGCCTAGTTAACCTCATTTGTGTATGTAAATGAGTTTGATCATCCATATGTTTTCTTATTTATCCTAAAAGTATTTTAAGATTGACAACAGCAAGTTGTCTTAGTGGTAACGTCACCCATCATATTTGGATGAGATCTCAGTCTCAAGTCTAACATTGACATGTTTGTGTACATGCGTGCTTAATTGTATAAAATAAAAAAAGTTCTTTAAAATTTTCTTTATTGACATAGTTTGTGGTTGGCGCTGCATTCATCTTTTCAAGATCACACTACGTATTGGTAGAAGCAATATGCTTTGACTAGAACATGGTTTCAGGGAGAGAAGAACTTCTCCTTTTTCTGTCCCTTTCTTATTCTTCTACTATTACTGGATCAAAATCTTAACAATTCAGATTTGTTGTTGTTGTTGTTATTGTAGTAAAATTTGATGTAAACAATTTTTTTACAGTGGCAGATTATTACCAAAATATTTTATGAAGTAGACTTTTTTTAACTTTTTTTTCCACTGCAATTCTAAATTGTTCAAGTCACTTCAAACATGTGATACTTACTTTCCACTTTCCTGCAAAGAAGGAGACCAAGTTAGAATTCAAAAACTGAAAAGAGAGTGAGGTAGAGAGGGAACGAAATAGATAATGGTTATATGCTTAAGAGTCTGAATGATTGGGTCATATAGGTATATTCTTTATATCTGCCATCTCTGTCGCTGATGAATGAAGAAATTAGAAACATCTATGTAAAACTGATGTATCAGTGATAGTTTCTGCACTAAAATACCAAAGATAGATTAATGTAAAAAGTAATTATAACTCGTTTCGTTATGTAGTTACTGCTACAAATCAAGCATCAGCAGCTATTGACTTGGTTTGCCAACAAGAAGGAAGGTTCAAACTTGTGATGGCTAAGGCTAACATGCCTGACATGAACACCATTTCTTTCCTCAATACACTACTTCTGAAGCATATCACTGTCATCTGTAAGTTCTCCAATTTTTTTCAAGTTCATTTGATTAACCTCAAAGAGCAGTAATCACTCAAAAAAAGAAAATCATCTCTTTCAATAACTACTTCAATTCAAAGGCTTATTCTTTTATATGTTAAGAGAATGGGAAAGCAGTGAAGATCAAACTTTAGATTGCTTGGTCAAAGTTTTGATACCATGGCAAGAAACTTGAACCCAATAGCTTAGGCTTTTGAAGCAAAATCCTATCATAGTCTTAACACTTTCCATCTTAATGATGGTCAGTTATATCCCCTGGACAAGATGATGGCGGGGCAAAGGCGGCTTTTGATAAAGGATCATGTTATCTCCTACAGGAACCAATCCAATCTGTGGATCTCATATCTCTGTGGCAACAAGTTTATAACTCAAATAATAGGAACTCAGCACAAGAGAATCAAGCTGCAAAATCTAAACAAAAGGTATATTTCACAAAGGAGTTTCAGCATATTAAGATTACATATGCATATATCTTGTTGGCGTATTAAACAGAATTTAACTTGCACGGTATTCACCTTCTAAGCATGAGATTTGACTCTTTTAATGCGCTTCAGAGAGCAAAGTGCAGGTATTTGACATGATAACTAGTCAATAGATGTTTGAAAATCAGTTTCATTAACTCTCGTATCAGAGGAACCAGATCCTTGAATATGACAATGTTTGTAAAACAGAAGGGCAGATTAAGTTGTTCTTGTTCAGGAAATCATGGGCAATTACAAACTATTAATGTTGACTGACCAATTACTGATAGGTGCATGAATCAAGTGAAAATCAAGACAAAACACGCCATGATGTCAGAGTCAACAAGAAAGGGAAGAGAGCATTTAACTCAAACCAGGTGAAATTAGACAACAATAATCATGCCCCAGAGAAGGAGGGACAGGAAACAGGAGAACATAACAACAATCGATCCTCTTGGAAAAAGCCACGTATTTCTTGGACTTCGGATCTACATCATAAGTTTGTACAGGCCATAAGTGTTCTGGGAGAGAACAGTACTATTACTTCTAAATTCATTTCCTTTTTACGTTGTTCACTACTAATTGTGATCATTTATGAACTACCTGAATTTCGGTGTTTGGTTTCAATTTGCTTGCAGATGTTCGTCCAAAATTGATACAAGAGATTATGAATGTTCCTTACCTGACATGTCGCCACATTGCAAGCCATCTGCAGGTGCTTTTCTATCACAAAGTCTTTCTTAAATTTTGCACATATTAGTGTTTACAAATGCTAATACCAGGTGGTTGTTAATACATGAATGTAAGTTAACTCACTCCATTCCTTTCACATTTGATCCTTAAATCTCTGTTATTCCTGATATGAAGCATTAGTAACCTCCTATCTTATGAATCTTCCTTCATT